TTCAGTACAGTATGTGTGTGTGTGTGTGTATATATATATATATATATATTCAGTACAGTAAGAGTAATATTTAAACATTTGTCCACTGAGAGAAAATACCATAACATAGAAGTCGTCTAAACCTGAACCAGGGAAACATACGACACTATTTAAATCCTAAATATACGATATGGTTTTATGAATAGCCTGGAAATAAGAGAGAAATATAACGGATCTAATTTCGCCTTAAAATGATTGTAATATAAGAACACGACCTGAAGAAACAAAACAGTTTATGTCATGTAGCAAGTGCGTTCAAGGCTTATCTGCTTGTAGTGACTGACCAGATTTATCCCTCAAGCAAATAAACATCAAACGCATGGTTTATAAGCAGCATGACGCTCGCGGACGCGTTAAATCTTTGCACAAATCTATTTACAAGATCAAAACTCACCTGCGCCTTCTTATGATAAGGACTGTAACGGCTGATTTAAGAGTCTCGGCCCCATATTAAACGCCACATCCCATTGGTTGGCATGCTGCTCACGTGCTCCAAAACGCTTTTTTACGTCATTACGCTTCGGTCGAGATTTCCCGGAAGCGAATTAACAAATCCTACTATGGTAAAGCCTTTGCTCATGAATATTAATTACGTAACGTACATTCGCCCGTAATACTATCTGATTGGCTAAAAGGCAAACGTTTGTAAGCGAGCGCTTAACTCATGAATATTAATTTAGCGTTAACCTCAGCACGTCCTAATTAATATTCATAAGGAATGGTTTTCAGCATAGTATGATCCGAAAAATAAAAATCTCTTGCAGGACGCACGACGCAGAGACTATTGTAGCGATTACTGCCACCTCCGCAAATCATAATGAGATTTGTTTCATGAGTTAAATGGATATACCACAGTACTGAATGTTTACCTAGTCATCCTATATCACGTTTATACAAATGGCTGTAAATGTATTATATGCTTTAAAATATATATTTAATAGAACAAATGAAGGGTCGTGTGTTTATAGCCACTATAACTAAACGAATAATGATTAATAATAATAATTAAAAAAAACACTATTACACTGCAATATTTTGTACAGCTAAAATAAATGGAAACAGCTTACACCGCAATCCTTGCGCATTCAAGGTGAAAATGGCTTACGTTAAAAATAAGGTGGATAGGAGCAAAGAAAAAAGTGCTTCAAAAACACCATATTCTCCAACCAAATAGGTACCTCGCTTAAAGTCACTGCAAAAACATCAAACGCATGGTTTATAAGCAGCATGACGCTCGCGGACGCGTTAAATCTTTGCACAAATCTATTTACAAGATCAAAACTCACCTGCGCCTTCTTATGATAAGGACTGTAACGGCTGATTTAAGAGTCTCGGCCCCATATTAAACGCCACATCCCATTGGTTGGCATGCTGCTCACGTGCTCCAAAACGCTTTTTTACGTCATTACGCTTCGGTCGAGATTTCCCGGAAGCGAATTAACAAATCCTACTATGGTAAAGCCTTTGCTCATGAATATTAATTACGTAACGTACATTCGCCCGTAATACTATCTGATTGGCTAAAAGGCAAACGTTTGTAAGCGAGCGCTTAACTCATGAATATTAATTTAGCGTTAACCTCAGCACGTCCTAATTAATATTCATAAGGAATGGTTTTCAGCATAGTATGATCCGAAAAATAAAAATCTCTTGCAGGACGCACGACGCAGAGACTATTGTAGCGATTACTGCCACCTCCGCAAATCATAATGAGATTTGTTTCATGAGTTAAATGGATATACCACAGTACTGAATGTTTACCTAGTCATCCTATATCACGTTTATACAAATGGCTGTAAATGTATTATATGCTTTAAAATATATATTTAATAGAACAAATGAAGGGTCGTGTGTTTATAGCCACTATAACTAAACGAATAATGATTAATAATAATAATAAAAAAAAACACTATTACACTGCAATATTTTGTACAGCTAAAATAAATGGAAACAGCTTACACCGAAATCCTTGCGCATTCAAGGTGAAAATGGCTTACGTTAAAAATAAGGTGGATAGGAGCAAAGAAAAAAGTGCTTCAAAAACACCATATTCTCCAAAAAAATAGGTACCTAGCTTAAAGTCAATACAACGCAACAGGTAGCCTCCTGGTGAAGGTAGTCAATGGAATGATACAGTTTCAGGTGAAACCCTATTGTTATTATTTATAACTGCAAGAGTCGAACACTTTTACACTAGGATACACTGAAAGGTTGATGAACCAATCTGAACCAACCAGGTCAGATCCCAGGGGTGGAGGTATATGGCAAAAACTGCTGTGAAGTCCGGACCATCACTTTACAGTATGCCATGTGATAAACAAACCTTATCACGGCAGAGGCTGCAAAATTACTGTAACCCAATCTGAAAAGGTCAACTACACTACCAGTTCAGTCAAAATCAGGAAGTCGGTAGACTACGCTGTACAGTAGTCAACCATCATATAGTGCCAGCACTAACAATTTGTACAGTATAATTTACAGTATTTGACAGTAAACTCTGCTCTGCTCTTTACCTTTTGCTTATAATGTCATGTATTCATCAAGCACACCTTTTGATACACAGTGGTTCTGTCTTTTTTTTTTTTACTCAAAGTCCTCCTGTTGCCTAACATGATATTAATGTTTGTTTGTTTTTTTAATCATTTTAATTAGAATTATTATTATTATTATAGTTTAATTTAGATTAATTATTTTAGTTTATTTAATTTAATTATTTTAGCCCCGGTCCCATAAGAACCACTGACCTAGAACTATCAAAACACATCTCAGTAGAAACAACCTTGTTTCCGTTCTAAATTTAGCCCAGAGTCTGTCCTTTTAAAACCTTGGATGGCTGGCTTAATGCTAATATAAAGTGACATAATATAATAGTGAGTGCCACACTATTTCATACTAGTTTGAGTTTTTTTTTGCTTTGTTTTGTTTTTGTGTGTTGATACTAATAAAAGTGACAATGTAATGCTATTTCACACTATTTTATTTTGATCCAGTTTTCAGTCATTTATTGATTAATTGATTGAGGTGTGTGTGATGCAAGATATGGGTGGCTTTTGTCCTTCAAATCTGTTATATTTCTTCTAAGATCATTCTTCTAATCCAAACAAAAATGATAAAACAGCTGAGGTGGTGCTGTTGATGAGATCTCTATGTCTCTGGCCAAAATTATTTTTTCACTTTGTTCAGAGTCAGACTGATACGTTGTTGGTTTGGCATTTATGCTATCTATGGAAGATAACTCTGCAGTGGCCACAGGAGTGCAGTATTGAGCTAACACATATCCATGGCCACAATCAGGAGAATCTGTCCAATAATTGTGCGAGTGATCTGGTTGTGGGACTACCTGGGTCGAGTCAAGTCTGTATCTGAAAAAGGCCCGTATACCCTTACATAGTGCACTATTTGAGGCGACGGGCATTTGTAGTTGTGTCCGACACCATAGTGAACAGTAAGTGCACTCATTCAATCCCACAATGCACCTGAAAATGAGTGGACAACTGATGTACAGTAAACTGTTAACCAGAGACTACACATGCACTGTCACACCGAATGTGTGTGTTTATACAAGTGGTATATTAGTGGAGCAATGTAAGGAATAGAGAATGAGGGGCGATACAGCCCAAAAGTGTGTCTGACTCAAGACCAGTTTGACCAAATTATTACAAAGACCGAAATTATTAGCACAAACATTAATTATAGGAAAAATAAATATAAATAAATAAACAGCTGATACATTGACCCTCATGTTGTGTTTCAGTCATTTTGACCCAAAGAGGATTTTATTTTTTTTCTCGAAAATGCTAGTTAATATTATTACATTGAACTAAAACTTACTGTCTTTGCTCACACAGGGTATAACAACTTCCCCAAAAACATTTTAATATTTTTTTGTACTTTGGGGGGGATTTTTTCCCACCTTGTTCCCAGTCAAAAATGACCAGTCTACAAAAATAGCTTATAAATGTCTTATGTTAGGCTATATTATTACCAAATCTCGGATTCAATCTTTTTTTATCAACTTATTTTCTTTCAATTAGCACAGGTTTTGTGTTTCTTTTTGGTACTGACCATAAGCGCCTTTGATCTGAGCTTAAACACGGAACATTGCCAACTGTATTATTATTATTATTATTATTATAATTATTATTATTATTATTATTTTCACAAAAACTAAGGTTCATGAGCTCAGATCAATGAGGCATAGGTTGAGGGTTAGGTCTAGATTCATGTTAGTTTAAACCAGTGGTCGTGGCCCAAAATGTATGACAAGTTTGTTCTGACAAAAGAGATACTGAAATACGACCCAGACTATTCACTTGCAACATGATTTGTGCAGCCCACAATGCTGTTCAGCTGCCTACAATTTTTAACCATGCTTAGACTATTACCATCTTACAGGAATAGGCTGCATTTAACTATGACTCACGTTCGGAGCATGCAATGTTTGCCTGTCCTACATAATACTTGGTAGGGCATGATAACTTTTCAAAATTATGAGGTCAGAGAGCATTCTGTTACCGAACAGGGAGAGTGTGGACTCATGATTAAACCTGTCTGGCTAAAAATTCTCAGTAAAGTAGGCTAAAAATCTTCTCTGCTGGTGCTGAGGATGTAGACAATGGCAACTTTTAATCCAGTGTATTAAGTTGTGGGAATCTGTCCTTGTACAAAATATCTTCATTGAACATGATCTTTACTTAATATCCTAATGATTTTTGGCATAAAAGAAAAATCGATAATTTTGACCCATACAATGTTTTTTTGGCTATTGCTACAAATATACCAAAGCGGCTTAAGACTGGTTTCCTATCGATACTTCACTCGTACTGTGTCTGTTTAAGACGCTTGGGGAAAACTAATTTTTTTCCAATGACTGAAGCCTTTCAATAACGCAGTGTAACTGTGCATGCGGCCCCTTCAGTATTGGCTGAAATTACGAGTTCCATTCCACACTCTACGCCCTTAAATGGTCTGTCTTCTCCGCCTGGTGTACAGCCCGCGGCGCAGACCCAATCTCATGCGACATATCTCTGATATTGTCCTTCCTGCAAGAGCTGTTGGATAAGGGCCGTTCCCTTCCACGCTCACGGTCTGAGTTACTATCTCACAGATCCCTCCTCCTCAGCCACTTAGAATGCCTGGGACTCAGGGTCAATTTTGCCAAGAGCGCGCTGTCCCCCAGCCAATGGATATCGTTCCTGGGAGCAGTTATAGACTCAGCCCAAATGAGGGCGGTAGCCGCTCCAGAACATGCGCGGCCTCATTCAGAGTTGGAGCCTCTCGCCCCTCAAGGTGTTTCAGAGGATGCTAGGCCTCATGGCCTCGGTGTCTCCGGTACTACAGTTGGGCCTGCTCTGCATGCGGCCCCTTCAGTATTGGCTGAAATTACGAGTTCCATTCCACACTCTACGCCCTTAAATGGTCTGTCTTCTCCGCCTGGTGTACAGCCCGCGGCGCAGACCCAATTTCCTGAGACATACTGAAAGTCTATGTTGAGCGTTCCGCCCCATTCAGGCGGTCAGATCAGCTGTTCGTATGCTTCGGTGGCCGCACCAAGGGTTGTCCGGTTACGAAGCAGAGACTTTCCAAATGGATAATCGACGCTATTATGCTAGCATACTCTGTCCAGCGGTGTGTCCATTGCAGAAATTTGTGCGGTGGCCGGCTGGGCCTCGCCGTCCACATTTTCCACGCTCAAGGTCTATGTAGCAGTCATAGCAGCTTCCCACGCTCCTATAGCTGGCCAATCGGTGGGCAGGAACAACTTGATTGTTCATTTTCTGAAGGTGTCTAGAAGGCTCAACCCGCCTCGCCCCATCACTGTCCCTACATGGGATCTGCCCACGGTGTTGAGGGCTCTGAAGAGCCCTCCTGTCTTAAACAGACGCAGTACGAGTGAAGTATCGATAGGGAACGTACTCGGTTACTAACATAACCTCAGTTCCCTGAGATACGGAACGAGTACTGCATACTTTGCCGTGCTATGTAGCTGCATGACTCAGTCGTCGCTTCAGTCGAAGTAACCTGAGGATCCTATGGCGATGTGCCGCTTATATAGCCAGATGACCCCGCCCATTCTGGCGGGCTTTGGCGGGCTTTACCGCCTGCCAAAACATTGGTTTGTTTTTTATTCACTGCACAAACCAAGCGTCTTAAACAGACGCACAGCGTCTTTTCCCAAAGCGTCTTAAACAGACGTTACGTTAGTAACCGAGTACGTTTTGTGGTCCAGGGTCACACACACACACAAACACACACACACATATATGTATATATATATCTTTTTTTTTTTTTTTTTTTTTTTTTGAAATTTGTTCTCTCTTTCAGACCTTTTCGGTGCCGTCAATCTCGCTCTTTGGACTGGAGTGCTTTGAGGGTCGGGAGGTCGCCATTGATACACAGATTTCCAACATGTGGGAGGAAGGATTTAATACACATTTCAAATGTTTTAGTTATATATGATCAAAGTCTATTACGTGATGCAGGTCACCAATCTAAATGTTGGAGAGGATCCTCGTGCTCATTGGCTGCCTCTACACTAGTATCGTAGTGCTGTTTGGTGATATGTAGAGCGAAAATTAGACAACGGTACACATTTATTATCGTGATTTACAAGAGGGGAAAACTACTGTATCAATGTGTATCTACAGCAACAAAAACAAACAGAGGCCATTATAATCAGTGATGCTGTCTACACTTGATGCAACACCACAACATCAGTAAAGTTATGCCCCATTATATTTCTGATGTACTACATTCACTAGCGCTACTTCCGACAACAGTACAAAATCCAGAACTTCTGCTTTGACGTGTGCAGTGTACAGCATCAAGCTGTTGTGGACGCAGCTGATGTAGACACGTTGTATGACCACAGACTTGGAATGTAGTGCACAGGTTGTATAAGCTATTTTTAAGCAACTTTATGACTTTTTTCATCCTAGTCACTGTATATTTCCTTTGAATGGAAAGGAACTGGGTGAACATTCTGCAAAATATTTTATTTTGTGTTCCATTGAAGAAATTAATTTCTACAGGTGTACTATTTTCTTATTTTTCTTATTTTTATTTTATTTTGAATTTTCTAATTTATTTTAAATATTCATCATTGTATTTATTTTTTTATATTTACTTTTTTTTTAAAGAAACCATATAATGTGATGTTTTTAATGGACACGTTATCTAAGAATAGATTTGTCGTCTACTGTATTAACAACATCCAGGGGACATTTTGGATAATTAAAGTTATAAGAGGATGCATGCAATTATAATTATCAAATGGTTGTGCACATGTAACTATATGCAGGATGATGTCTACGATATTGGCTAATTATAATGGCTTTGATGCTATAAATTGGGATATGTGTCAGAAAATTAGCAAATTGCATCAAACGTTATTGAATCAGATACTCCAACCTCTACCTGGCTAACAAAAACGTGTTCTAAGATTAGAAGATTGCTAATGTTCCCATGAAGTTACAAAAAAGTTATTTCTGAATGTTTTCTGAACATTCAAAACACCCAGTTGTATTTATTTATTTATCTATCCATAAACGTTAAGGAAACATTCCGTTTTATAATTCTGCAAACATTACGGAAATGTTACTTTTGAATATTCTTTGAATATTCTGAAACAAGTTGTAACATTAATATATATATATATATATATAAATACATGTTACGTTCTTAGTTCTCTTAGTTCTGTATAAACATGTAAATTAAGCTTTCAAGCTCATGTAAGTGAGTTAAATTATTCTGTGCTGTCTGTGCTGGATTGATCCTCTAAACATCGCTAATGAGAACGTACGAGCATCTTCAGCGTATTAAACAATATACAATAAACATATGTACACTTGCATGCAAAGTGTCACTAAATATTTTAGCATATTGCATTTTGTATTCACAGGTGCATAGATAAATAAATGAATAAAACATAAATTACTAATTAAGCTGTCAAGGTATCCGCTGTATGGTGGCATCATTTGGGGTAAGATTCCCTCCCATTTAGGTCGCGTAATGATCAAACAACATTTATGCAAAGTGTCTGAGATGAACCCAAATACCAATTGAACAAACACACAGAGTCATCGGGCTCCTTTAAAAGCATGAGAGGTTGTCTGAGCGCACATTTCCACACTGCTCCCATAGTGAGTGTGTGTATGCGTGTGTGTGTTTATTGTGTGTATATGAGGGTTCTGTGCTTTATTCACTTGGGTAATCTGGCGGCCAGTCCTAACGAGGTTGTCACAAACCCCTTTTTTCTGTATAAAATGTTTTAGTTATATATGATCAAAGTCTATTACGTGATGCAGGTCACCAATCTAAATGTTGGAGAGGATCCTCGTGCTCATTGGCTGCCTCTACACTAGTATCGTAGTGCTGTTTGGTGATATGTAGAGCGAAAATTAGACAACGGTACACATTTATTATCGTGATTTACAAGAGGGGAAAACTACTGTATCAATGTGTATCTACAGCAACAAAAACAAACAGAGGCCATTATAATCAGTGATGCTGTCTACACTTGATGCAACACCACAACATCAGTAAAGTTATGCCCCATTATATTTCTGATGTACTACATTCACTAGCGCTACTTCCGACAACAGTACAAAATCCAGAACTTCTGCTTTGACGTGTGCAGTGTACAGCATCAAGCTGTTGTGGACGCAGCTGATGTAGACACGTTGTATGACCACAGACTTGGAATGTAGTGCACAGGTTGTATAAGCTATTTTTAAGCAACTTTATGACTTTTTTCATCCTAGTCACTGTATATTTCCTTTGAATGGAAAGGAACTGGGTGAACATTCTGCAAAATATTTTATTTTGTGTTCCATTGAAGAAACTAATTTCTACAGGTGTACTATTTTCTTATTTTTCTTATTTTTATTTTATTTTGAATTTTCTAATTTATTTTAAATATTCATCATTGTATTTATTTTTTTATATTTACTTTTTTTTTAAAGAAACCATATAATGTGATGTTTTTAATGGACACGTTATCTAAGAATAGATTTGTCGTCTACTGTATTAACAACATCCAGGGGACATTTTGGATAATTAAAGTTATAAGAGGATGCATGCAATTATAATTATCAAATGGTTGTGCACATGTAACTATATGCAGGATGATGTCTACGATATTGGCTAATTATAATGGCTTTGATGCTATAAATTGGGATATGTGTCAGAAAATTAGCAAATTGCATCAAACGTTATTGAATCAGATACTCCAACCTCTACCTGGCTAACAAAAACGTGTTCTAAGATTAGAAGATTGCTAATGTTCCCATGAAGTTACAAAAAAGTTATTTCTGAATGTTTTCTGAACATTCAAAACACCCAGTTGTATTTATTTATTTATCTATCCATAAACGTTAAGGAAACATTCCGTTTTATAATTCTGCAAACATTACGGAAATGTTACTTTTGAATATTCTTTGAATATTCTGAAACAAGTTGTAACATTAATATATATATATATATATATAAATACATGTTACGTTCTTAGTTCTCCCATATGAGTATAAACATGTAAATTAAGCTTTCAAGCTCATGTAAGTGAGTTAAATTATTCTGTGCTGGAATGCAAATATTGATCCTCTAAACATCGCTAATGAGAACGTACGAGCATCTTCAGCGTATTAAACAATATACAATAAACATATGTACACTTGCATGCAAAGTGTCACTAAATATTTTAGCATATTGCATTTTGTATTCACAGGTGCATAGATAAATAAATGAATAAAACATAAATTACTAATTAAGCTGTCAAGGTATCCGCTGTATGGTGGCATCATTTGGGGTAAGATTCCCTCCCATTTAGGTCGCGTAATGATCAAACAACATTTATGCAAAGTGTCTGAGATGAACCCAAATACCAATTGAACAAACACACAGAGTCATCGGGCTCCTTTAAAAGCATGAGAGGTTGTCTGAGCGCACATTTCCACACTGCTCCCATAGTGAGTGTGTGTATGCGTGTGTGTGTTTATTGTGTGTATATGAGGGTTCTGTGCTTTATTCACTTGGGTAATCTGGCGGCCAGTCCTAACGAGGTTGTCACAAACCCCCATAATGAGCCTCAAAAAGATGAATGTAAAAACGTATCCATTACTGGGCCTTCATCTTCCTGTTCATTAGCTTAGCATAAGGTTACAATACATTACTGTACAACACCTCTCGCTACCCTAAGGAAGAAAAACTCTATTGAGTGAGTAAGTCTAGTCTCATGAAACAACAATATGCACTTTGGGGAATTATCATAACGGCGCTACACAGATATGCTCTCACTCTATTTCTCATGTTTCTATTGTATCTCTTCTTTCTTTGTCTTGGCGTCTTTTTTTGCTGAGCGAAGACAGTATGGTTTGGTTTGGCAGGCGGCCTCTGTTTCCACGGCAACTTTATAATTGCTTTGGAAGCGGTCCAGACGCTACTGGATGCCAAAGAATTATTGATGTCAAAAAGAAACATGTATGAAATGAGGAAATATGTATGCAGCCATATGGTCCTGTGCACATCCGTGTACAATGAAATCGTAGTGTTGCCTTTGCAATGTTTTTCAAAGACAATTAAAATGTCGCAACACATGCTCTGTAAAATGCTTAAATGATTGGGTGTATTATGATTCCATTAGGGCATTTTGCATGTCACAATATTACTTCACCTGATCTAAGTGTGAAATCAAAGTCTTGTAGTACTTAATAACTGCAGAATCTTTGAAGCCATAAAGGTGACACTCTGTGTGTAATAATGAGAATACCGTATACACATGCACAATCTTGTTTTGTGTCAATCCAAATTAAATTCAGTATGATTTCATCTCTGGATGAGAGAGTGTAGCAAAGTTGTTAAGAAAAATCTGTCTTGCACTGCACTGTGCATGTATGTGAGATAAAAAAACAAACAAACAAACAAACAAAAAACATTATTTGAATTAAATTATACTTTGAAGTTTTTATTATGCTTCTATAAAATATTTTATTTTATAGATTATATTAAATAATATGTAATATTACAAATGTAATGATAAACTGTTTAATAATAAGTAGTTTTATTATTATTTTTAATAATAATAATAATAATGATAATAATGATAATGATAATGATAATGATAATATGAAATAATTAAGCTTTATTTAATGGATCAGTAAAGCTACTGTGAACTAAAACTATTAAAAATATATTTTTTGTTAATTGAAATAAATCTGAAATTAAATAGAAGCATATTAGATTAAAAAAAAAAAAACTTTAGCATAATAATATAAATGTTGCATTGGCAACTAATTACAATAAAATAAGTTGATGTTGAAGTGCTAAAATATAACAGGACATATATATATATATATATGTATGTGTGTGTGTGTGTGTGTGTGTGTGTGTGTGT